TACGACGTGACCGAACTAATTTGATGTGGATGTAGTTGCGTCCTTTGAGCAGCTCACGTGTGTTGCTCGGTCGATAATAAAACTCGACTCGGTGTTGCGCATGCAAATCGCTGTATAGGCACAGCAGGTCAGATTGGTGCATAATTGCACAATTGGCGCAACACTTCCACTCCTGCTTATAGACGTTCGAGTTCCTTTCACTGAGGGATGAACAAGGTTGCAAATTTCAAGCACAAGACCAATGATCTTAGAAAGAGTTGTTCCACTTAAGTGATCTCTGTTTAATGATAGTCCACTGTATCTACCACACCACTGCTAACTCGATTAAGGGTAGTTGCACTTAAGAGCCGATAATCAGCCTTAAAGGCCGATAATCAAGCTTTCGCTGACAATCTTTTCTCGTTCCTCCTGACATTAGTGCACAACTATTTGAAAGCTTTCATAGCTGAATGCCACTATCAACTTCAAAATTACAATCCTGCATAAAAAAACAATACTACTACTACTCCTGCCCTTTTAATCAAGGTGAATTCAAACGATATTTCATGCCTTGTGATGGAGGAGCAATATTTTTTGTTCTGCCTTGGTTATCATTACAATTACTTTTTTCCTTCTGACATAAACAGATACCACGTGTTGTGAGACAAGTTTTGTCGTAATACTTGCATGAGAAAAATTCAATAAACTAAAGTTTGAAGTATCAACAAGGACATTATCTAAATGTGGTTCAACAGCCCACAAGTTTGCTAATAAATTGCCTCAAGCAATGATTTACACACTCAAACCTTGTTATAACGAAGTTGAATGGGATCCACAATTATTTCGTGATATCTATTATGACAGGTTGTGGCAATGTATGCTCAGATGAGCGCACACCTCTAAGCATGCAAAGAAAGAAACCGCCTTGCGGCCCGATGTACCGCTATGCGACCGTGCGTGCCATGAAAAATAAACCCAGTTAAATCTCAATAATTCGAACTTTTGGGTAATACGAACTCACGCTGAGGTCCCGTCAAAGCTATGTGTATTCAAATGGGTGAAAACGCCCTGTAATTCGAACACGCAAGCACTTGGGATGGTTAATTCGAACATACCACGCTCCGAAAATGCTCCCAGCACCATGCCCAATCCTGCGGCGACATCTCTCAACGCTGCCCGCAAAAAAGGAAAAGAAGAAAAGAAAACAAAATACTGTGGTGGATTGTTTGCTCTCTCTCAAATGCAGATCTGCGACGCGCCTGTTCTACACTTCTTCCTTTTCCATCTCTGCACACAGAGACCCTTCTCCTTTCAAGGCCGCACACGCAGAGAGAGGGGAAAAGAAAAGAAAGCTGTCACGGAGAGTCCTCCTTTCTCAGTGCAGAGTAAGCAGCCATGGTAGCAGCGGAGACGCAGTCATTGTTGTCGTGAGAGGGAAATCCCTTTGCACCGCGGCGCCGCTTTTCGGTCATGTGACCCGCTGAGTGCTTCCTCAATCGCCTCCACTGGCTGTGTGAGAAGGACAACTCTCTCGGCCGCGCGGGGCATGACTGTAGGTCGGCACGGGAGTTTTGAAAGAGCCGCACCGAACGAGTGTCAAACTACGCAGAAAACGCTATACTTAATACACTATGGTCGTTTTTTTTTTTTTTTGTATAGACCATTTTATAGACTACTTTAGTTCGTTATATCCATTCACCTGTCAATTTTAGTTCGTTACAACGAGGTTCAAAATGCATGGTTCTCAATGAAGTTTTCAATGGGAATTGCATTTACTTCGTTATATCCATTATTTTGTTATATCCCGTTATGTTATAACAAGGTTTGAGTGTACTTTAAACACACCACGAACATTTTCAATTAATTCTGTGGGTTTTACACTGCTGTGCATGTTCTAGTTAATTAGCTGATTAGGCCTTAAACAAAGAAGTTGCTGTTATGATACTTTTGAAGTTACTTATAGAAAAAAATTTAAATACTTGAAATCAGCCCACAAATATCATAAGCTCAGCAAGTTCTATCAAAATTGATCAAGATTGTAAAAAAAAAAGTAGTGCGTCTTCTCTTATGTAATGAAGGTATTCTGTAATAAGACAGACTTAAAGGTACTGCTGAGACAATTTATGGTGGCGACTGAAGTTTAGGACACCATACCAGATGTTGCTTGAACTTTCAGACATAATACAAGCCCAATGCTGCAAGACAGAAACATGGTCACAGTGAAAAAGGGCACCATAATTGGAGTTGCCTTCTAGCTTTCGTGCAATTTGAAACCGAAATTTTTTGCTCTCGTAGCGGCTACAGGACGTGTTTTGACATCACATGTTCATCAGACCGAGTGGCAAACAACATCGTAGCACTCTGGACAATACCTGAGGCATTGACTGCAAGTTGTGGCCGCAGAATGTACACAACACTTTAGTTTGCAGTGATTTTTGAAAATGTGTTCAGCCTTCATTTCTTTCAGTAAAATACATCCTTGTTTTGAACAGTTGTAAAAAATTTGAAGCTCCTAATCAACATTTTGAATTTTGATTACAGCAGCTTACGAGGGTTTAACATCTTTTGTTAAACAAAATAAAATTCCTGTAACATTTTTAAGCAATGTGTCAAAAAAATAAACCAGCTTCACACAAGTAGTTCCAAACCTGAATAAAGTGAGAAGCTGAGCAGTCTACTTTGTTTCTATTTCTTTCTTTTTGTATTTTTCAATTTTTGTAGTGTTTCCCTCTTTTATTTCTAGTTTTCTACAATTGTTTTCTTTCTTTTTCTCTCTTCCTAGTTATCACTTGCTTCCTTTTTTTTACAATTTTTATGTGTAGCTTTATTCAATGTACACTGCATTTAAATTGTCATCAAGATGCTCAAAGAGCAAAAAAACATGACTTCCCTTTGGCACACGATGGCTAGGCTAAATGTGGTGTTGCCTGCGTTACGCCTAGGGCGGGAAACGGAACAGCCTAAATAGAATATCGAGCAATTTTTGAAGCAGCAAAATGTTACTTTTGCAGCACTCAAATTCAAATTTGAAGCAGGTTACAGGAAAAAAGACATTCAATTTTTTTATCACAAAAGACTAATTTTCAAGCAGTATGAAAATGAAAGCTCAAATTTCAAAAGAAAAACATGTACAAACCTCTCCACATCACCTAACCTGTGCACTGAATATGAGCACCGCTATTTCAATAAAAATAAAAGCAATACTTTATACCACCCCACTCGGCAAACAACGATTAAGTCCACATTAGCATTTACCATGCCTGTCAAACCCTTTGACAGACTCTGAGGATTAAAATGTGTAACGTTTTTTTTTTTTAGTTTTGTATAACTTTCTTTAGGGCTGCAGAAATATCATACAGTACTTCAAATGATTGCCAGCAATTTTCAGGACATCAGTGATCCTATTAGTACTCGCAATTATGTGACGTACACACGCATGCGTAACTGAACAAACTGTGTTCTGTCCCCTGACTAGTGTTAACAGCCCCTTCCAAATCTTGTAACACTTTTTTGCAGGCCACCAGTGTACTGTGGCAAAGGTAGCTTATGCGGCATTCTGCACGAGTTAAGACAAGGTCAAAATATTTTCGAACCGCACCCTCCCCCCCCCCCCCCCCTTTTATGTTTCCATAATGGGTTTAGGTGCCGGGCACAACTGCTTAGCTCTCTGGCAAGGCACCAGATAAAGTAGCAATGGCATGCGCCCTTTGGCCTGACAACAGCCCTGGATGTCTATCGCAGGTGCCCTTGCTATGTCAACCATAGTGGTCGCCGACATGGCCAGGGTTCGAAGCATGTCAAGCTTGCTCTGCTCCCACACAGTAGCCGCGACATACGCTTTCAGCTTTAGTGCCTACTTTCTGACTTAGATATTCACACTTCCCGCGAGGTGTTGCTGGCTATGGCAACGCATTTTACCTTGAAGTTGCGTCGTCCTGGCAACAGATATCTGCTGCTGTCAGCGAAGCAATGGGCGCACGTCATTATTTACGCCGCAGTTTGGGGTTAGGGTCTGCACGCCTAGATCCCTGGATTGACTGATAACGCAAACGTAACGTTGACAGAAACTACAGGTACCCAACGTGGCCTCCATTTCTCAATGAAGTTAGCTCAGGCTGGTCGGGCATTTTGGTGCAGCATGGGGCAATTTTGGCAAATTTCGTGGTTCTGGCACAGCTCGGCACAAAAATGGAGATTTGTATCAAATTGGTGCAATTGGCACCCCTGTTGCACCCCTGCTAGGGATGACGACAAGATACCACAGCCTGGCCCCCTAGACCGCTCTGAATGTCTATCACATCTGCCGTTGCTACGTCAACCAACGTGGCCGCCGGCAACGCTGGCGTTTTCAGCATGTCGCGTTTGCTCGCACACAGTAGCCGCAGCATGCGCTTCCAATTTTAGTTCCTACTTTATGACTAAGATATTCACACTTCTCGCGAAGTGTTGCTAGGCATGGCGATACATTTTACCTCGAATTCGCATCATCCTGGCAATAAATATCCACTGCCGTCAGAGGAGCAATGGGCACACGGCGTTGTTATTTTGTCTGGTCAATCGCATTTTGCGAGTGTCCTGGCCTAATCAGTATATACCTTAGACCACAGTTTAGGATAGGGTTTGCGCGCCTAGATCCCTGGATTGACTGATGACGCAAGCGTAACAATGCAAACTACAGGTGGCGAACATGACCTCTATTTCTCGTTGAAGTTGGCTCAGGCTGGTTGGGCACATTGGTGCTGCGTGGCACAATTTCGGCAAATTTCATGGTTTTCGCGCAGCTCGGCACGAAAATAAGAATTGTATCAAATTGGCGCAATCGGTGCCACTGTTGTGCTCTGCTAGAGACGACGACAGGATAGCACAGCCTGGCCCATTAGACTGCTCCGCACTCAGAGGACGAGGCTTAAAAAAGTTCCTTAGTTTAAAATGTACTTGAACAATGAATAAATGGGAAGGCCTAGATCTCACCTTAGCAGCTAAAATGGCTGTCCACAATGTCTGCCCTCAATGTCACCCACCTGTTGTCCATGGACCTCCAGCAGCTCAATTTTTTTGCAGAAGGCATCGGTTTCTTCCCGCAGACTCTTCTCACGATCAGCGATCGATTGGATTTGCTGTTGCAGCTTCTCCGAAAGCTCGTGCCTCAGACGACCCTACATTGCACCCAACTGATATCAGACACAAGACAAAGCCACACTTCACTATGGCGAGGAAACATCAAAAGCAAAAAATGTTCCCCCTGTATAAATCTACTTAACTCCTTTTAAAAGCAGCATTTAAACAGACACAAATTCAAGATAAAAACTAAACTAATAGCAATTAAAAGCACTGCATTGAAAAAATGCCTACAACACAAGTCTGGCCTCACAGCAAAAAGTAATTCATTACATTCTACTCTGAATAATGCTCAGAATGTGAAGCAGCACAAAACAAAAGCATGTGCTAAGGCTGGACTAGCTCATTATTCATTGAAGTCTGCACAGATTGCATAGAAGCATGTGATTATACATTTGTGCAATTCTGAGGTTTCATCTAACGTGTAAGATAAGCACGCACAGCTGTGTCTTATGCGTGCATGTGATATCATGACATCGCTGACTGATCAGCCTTCCACGACAGCTTGCAGGCACAAAGCACTGAACAATGCAGCCCTGTTTCGTTTGTTAAGTTGATGGTGACTGCAGTTTTGTCAAGTTGTTTAGGACAGCTTTTTTCTGAAGCTCCTCTATCTTGTATTCGTTATTTTTTTTACTTCTTATCTACAGAATACCGCAGGCTGAAAAAGGGGCCTGTTTTGTTCCCAATTCAGCCCCCTTATGGCATTTTGTAGTTTCGCGATGGCAACATTCATAGTGCATTACGATGCCTTAAAGTTAAGAAAAGAGACTGCAGCAAGGGGCTGTGCCAGTTTGGAGTTGCATTAATGTGTCAGCATTAGCTACAAGGTTCTGTCTGTGAATGATTACATTATAGCACAAGGAACTATGACCATGTAAGGTATCATGACAACATCTATTTTTAGATACTTTTTGAAGAAAACGACAGCTCGAGTGGTTGGCTGGGCACTCTAGACAAGTCTGATTATATCTGTATGGGCATTGGCGTGCAAGAGCAGTTCCAGAGGTCTCTAGTCATCCAAGTCGCAGTACGGATATCAAACATTGCCCATGCAGCAAGTTTTTGAAAGTGCGGCAAGTGCGTAGACCTTCTAAATGGCAACACCCCCCCCCCCCCCCCCCCCCCCCATTAGCACTACTCCCAGGTGACATCAAGCCTTATTATTTGGTACAGTTAAACCTGCTTAAATGAACCACCTTCATATAACAATTTTTTTGACATCACGAAGTTGTTTTTATTCTCCGCTGTTACTCCATAGAAGCACATGTATTTGTGACCTCTTGCAACAAAGTAACAGAGGAAGGCATCCTTGATAAAATGAATTTTTGCCACAAACAACTAAGAATTTTGCCCGGATTTTGTCGTTTTGGCAGGAGCATGCATGTTAGCCGGTGGTGTGCTAGTGGCCCTGACAACTCACAGCAAGAGGGAGCATTTGTTATTGCGCACGGGTGTGCATGAGGTGGGAAGGTGGGCCTACACCAAGCTCTCCTTACATACATTTAATTAAAAAAAAAAAAAGGTGGGCCTATGCCCCACATGCCATGCTGCCGTTCTTGCCGCCGAAGGCGCATGCTCGAATGTGCCCTCCTCCTCCCTCCCTTCAAACCAACAAAAAAAAAGAAAACTATTTTTGCATTGGCAGTGCCACATTTTTTGTTAGCATCACCAATGTGGGGCGGCGCTGCATATGTAGGGCGCTTTTCCGAATAGTTTGCTGTGATATCCGTGTGGTACGTACGCCTTTGGTTTTCGATTCCCTGCATGCGTGCCTGGTTTCACTGCACGCGCATGCTGTGGCCCTTGATGATGGTCAACTTTGCTTTTCTTTATAGTTTCTTTTATTGTAATGGCAATTGTATGGACACTCTCGGCTGTATTTTGCCGCCGTCGTTAGCGTCGACGACTGCCATCATTCACCGTATATGTAAACGTACATATATATACATTGTTACGTTTTAAAGAGACCGGTAGAGATTGAAAGGGGCCGTTTATTAGGTCATGAGGGGCAGCTCAGAAGCGGCCGACTTAGAGATCCTTCTGATCCTCTTCTTCCTTTCTCGCTCCGGGAGACAAGTGGGTTCACTGTATACGCTTCATTGTCTTCGTGCATGTGCGCAACATTCCTCTCCGCGCAGACGAAGGCCGCCGGACGAGTCAGTCGAGTTGTCGTGGCGTGTACAGTTTCAGGCGGGCAACATGTATAACTTGAGTTTTGGCAGCTCGTCGACCACTCGCCGTGATATGAGCTATTACATAGTTGACCTCTGTAAGTCTGTCGACAATGACAAAAGGTCTATCGTAAGTGGCCAAAAATTTTTGGCATAACCCGCGCTTGCGCATCGGAGTCCACAACCACACCAGATCACCACGGCGATAAATCACTGGTCGATGGTGATTGTCATAGCGTGCTTTCGCTTTGTCTTGCGATGCCAATGTGCGTAGTCGAGCTATGCGACACGCCTCTTCGGCGAGGCAGAGAGGCTTGGCAACAGTGACGTTGTCGTGATCACAGAAAGGTAATATTGTGTCGATTGTGTGCCGGGGCGAACGTGCATAAAGCAAAAAGAAAGGGCTATAACCTGTAATCTCATGCTTCGCGGTGTTGAACGCGTAAGTAATGAACGGGAGTACGTCATTCCAGTTCTTGTGGTTGCATGAGACCTACATAGACAACATGTTGATAATGGTGCGGTGGGTACGCTCCGCCAGCCCATTAGTTTGGGGGTGGTATGGTGTCGAGTGACGCAGGCGGGATTCACACAAACGGAGTAGCTCCTCCACGACATCCGCTGTGAATTGTCGTCCACGATTTCTGATAATCAGGCGAGGTGGCCCGTGTCAAAGGATGACCTACTGTAGCAAAAACGACGAGACTTCACTGGCAGTTAGTTGTGGAGGGTACGGCCGCCGTCTCGCAGTAGCGTGTGTGGTAATCGACGCAAACAATTATCGATCGATTGCCCTTAGCCGATTTCGGGAATGGGCCCAGAAAGTCAATGCCCACTTGTTCGAAAGGTGCGCTTGGAGTAGGCATCGGCTGTAGAAGACCAGCTGGACCAGTTGATGGACGTTTGTGACGCTGACATTGCATGCAGCTTGCCACATAACTCTCAACAGACTTCTGCATACCCGGCCAATAAAAGCGCTCTTTAGTCCGGCGAAGCGTCCGCGCCAAACCTAAATGTCCAGATGTAGGGTTGTCGTGCATGACACTCAAAATAACTGTTCGTAAGCTTTCCGGGACCACTAGAAGGAAATGCGCGCCACTGCTGGAGAGGTCCCTTTTGAACAACAGTCCATCACGCATGCAGAAACAGCATGCAATAGTGGAAGCGGATGCATCGGCGAATAGTAGTGCTAGTTTAGCGTCTTTCCGCTGTTCTGCTCTGAAACTGGGGTAGTCCGGGAATGTAGGAGACACAGACACTACAAGCTGGTCAAGGTCATCGGATTCACAGTCCGTAGCGCTGAGTGGCATACGTGAAAGACAGTCCGCATCAGCATGTCGACGACCACTCTTGTAAGCGAAGGTAAAACTGTATTCTTGTAGCCGGAGTGCCCAGTGCGCAAGGCGGCCGGCCACAAGGGTCACGAAGGTTGACAAGCCAACACAACGAGTGGTGGTCGGTTACGACTGTGAATGGGCGTTCGTACAGGTAAGACCTAAACCGCTCAATTGCAAATATTACCGCGAGGCATTCTTGTTCCGTGACAGTGTAGTTTCGTTCCGGCCTGCGTAGGGAGTGACTTGCGTAAGCGATGACGTGTTCACGGTCGCCATAACGTTGTACTAGGACGGCTCCAATACCTATACCACTAGCATCCATATGAAGCTCTGTCGGAGCAAAAGGACTGAAGTGCTGAAGGACGGGTCGTGACGTCAGCAACAACTTCAATTGATGGAATGAAGAATCGCACTCCGGAGTCCACTCAAAAGAATTGTCCTTTCGTAAGAGGCATGTGAGAGGATACGCAACGTCTGCAAACTTCAGAATAAAGCGGCGGAAGTACGAACAAAGCCCAAAAAAACTACGAAGCTCCTTGACGGAACGCGGTGCATTGAACGCCTCAACTGCTGCTGTCTTCTGGGGGTCAGGGCGGATGCCATCCTGGTCAACGAGATGCCCGAGCACAAGCGTCTGGTGGTCTCAGAAGTGGCATTTCTTAGAGTTTAAAACTAGGCCAGCGTTTCAGATGCAGTTCAAAACAGTATCCAGACGAGAGTTGTGTTCACTGAACGTGCGGCCAAAGATGACAACGTCGTCGAGGTAGCACATGCAGATGTTCCACTTCAAGCCACGCAGAAATGTGTCCATAAGCCTCTCGAACGTTGCCAGTGCATTGCATAGTCCAAATGGCATCACGTTGAATTCAAAGAGCCCATCAGGGGTTACAAAGGCAGTCTTTTCCTTGTCCTCTGGGTGCATCGAAATTTGCCAATTACCGGATCGTAAGTCTACGAAGGAAAAATAAGAGGCCGAATGTAAGCAATCTATTGCGTCCTCTATACGGGGCAGCGGGTATACGTGCTTTTTAGTTAAGGCATTCAGTCGACGACAGTCGACGCAAAATCTCCAAGATCCATCTTTTTTTCTTAACAAGGATTACCGGTGCTGCCCATGGACTGGCTGACTCCTGTACCACTCCCTTTTGCATCATTTCCTGCACTTTGTCGTTGATAATTTGTCTTTCTGACGGGGAAACACGATATGGCGTTTGGTGAATCGGACTTGCCGTGCCAGTGTTGATGGTATGGGGCGTCCGAGACAGGGGAAGAGGGATTACTTTGCCCTTCTGCGCAATGTCAAATACCGAAACATGCTTCAACAGCACATTCATTAAAGGTCGGCGCACGCTTGAGCTAAGCGACTTATTTATCGTTGCCATAAGCGCCCCGTCCAAATTGTGACAGCCAGTTCCGTCACGTTCTTCCGGCACGTCTGTGAGCTTGACCACTGATAAGGTCGCATGTTCTTTGCTGACCGAAGCTAATTTCAAACCATTGGGTAGTGTCATGGGCTCAGAGGAACAG